TGTAACAGCTTTTGTACCTAAATTTATTTCACTTCCAGCTACTATACCCATTTCTTCTTGAAAAAATTTTTTTCTCTTATAAGATGAATTAATGTTTTTAAATACATCGCATACATCTTTTAGATGATTTTGCAAATGATCTGTTTGACCACTCTGAACAACAGCATTTACACTATTGGCAATCACTGTAACTAATTCTGAACTTGTGTTGATTACAGAGTTTAAAGCAGTTTCAGTTATACCCAAACCAGTTAATTGTGATACGAAATTACAAGCAATACTTTTTAATTTTACATCAGTAAGAATTAAATCAGTAGTACAATTTACTTCATTAATTGTAGAAGTTTGGGAATCGCATGTTATGTCCATTTGAGAATTATTTTGTAGAGTATCGTTACAGCCATTTTCATTATCGCAATCTATACTTATATTACTGGTATTTTCATTACTACAAGATATATTTATATCATTGTTATTTTCACTTATTATACGATCTACTGTATGACGATTAAAATTACTGTGAGCAATTCTCAAATGTTTTTTGAAACCAGTAAAAGTGAAAAATTGTAATGCACAACCCGGCTGACCACAGACAATATTATTTTTTCCATTTAAATGCATAAAATGACTGTTGCGTAAATGCCACACTAATTTGTTAGCATTAAAGTTTCCTTTCTTGCATACACTACAAAAATATTCTGTCATGTTTGTTACTACTCAATAATTACATTAAAAAGACGAGCACGTACTTCACGCATTTTTGGAGTAAAACTAAGATTGTCGACGTCAATGCCATAAAATATCGTCTGCACAAATTTCCAGAATATTTCTAACGATTCTTCATATTTACAGCCAAATACATAATGAGCCTTAAAGAGGGTATCAAAAGCAATAATACTTGATGTGTTAGGTGGGCATGGCAGAAGCTTTCCATCAATAACCACGTAAAAATTGCTAATTGCTTGTTGATTAGAACCGATTGCTAGTAGAAATGGCTGCAAACTAATTTTTGTTAATTCTTGCTCAGATGGCAGTGGAAGATCAATCTAAAATATAAAATATTTACAACGTAGAATATATGCACAAGCCCATATTTGCAAAGTTATAATAGATACAAGTGTTTAACAAAGCAATTATTAATTTATTTTATAACCTGATGAAACGATATAAGACGTGACATTGCAACGTTCACAGTTGCATGATTTGGCTTCTTTTTCCCTCTAGCTGTTGGTGGTAGAAGATGCAGAAGTAAAAACAATGTTTGTGTAGTTTTGTCCCATACTGCCAATAAACATATAATACACATTGCACTTTACCACATTAAAAAACAATTAAAAGAATAATTCTGTGCATCAAACACTTACGTGCAATATCTTTACGTTTGTTCTTTAGTGTAATTTCCGATACTTTTACAATTCTAGCCTCAAAATCCTGCCAGTTTTTATCCAATTTTGATGAATGCTCTGGCATTAAAGCTTCAAAATCTTTTTGTATCTAATAAAATAATGAAATAATAAGTAAATTACTATTGCTTTTATTTTATTGTAAATTAAAATAAAAAAAACTTACTAAACCTGGCGTATCTACAAATCGTGGGAATTCAATAAGTATATTTTTGGACAGTTCTGGATTCAGTATTATAGTTCGACGATATTTTAATGATTGTCTCATCTTAACTTCAATATCAGCCAATTGTGTTGTTGGAGATGCATTTTTTAGCCACTCAATAATTTCTTTTTCTTGATTGTCATTTAAGTCACCGTCAGGAACTCTTGGATTTTCAGGGCTACTATTAGGTACTAAAGCTGTTTTTGTTTCTATTTTAATTTTTTTTGGAACATTGTCAGGAATTGATATCCTATTTACTGTACGAAGGCGCCAACTCAAATATCCGCTTCTATCCTTAGGATTGTAGAATAACTCCTGTGTGGATGTGTTTATATAAAAACAAATTATCCACATTTTTTGCAAGCAAAATCTTATGTATAAAGTGTTCTTACATATCCCTCAGCAGTACTAGGATCCCGTAACGTCGGAAAATTTTGCACAATTCCTTTTGCGTAAAAAATCTTTATGTCATTACCTGGAATTTTGCTGTATAAAAAAAGTAACAATATTAAGTGGAGATTAGACGTGAATAACACAAATAACACAAGAGAAAAAAGACTTTATATAACGAAGCAAATTTTGATGTTTAATAATATTTTTATGTTATTTTTAAACATACCAAAAAAGTTTTAATTCTATTATGTATAGAAAAATACAAAAGAAAAATTATTTACCCATGCTGTTCTTGAATATGTCCAACAATTAATCTAACCAAAGCTCGACGAGATTCAGGTTTCAAAGTATTACTAACTTCATATTCTTCCAAAAGATCATATCCAATTGTCGTTTCATTCAAAATTTTGTTGACAACCTATTATTAAAGTGTTATACCATATGTAAAATATGTGTGTGGTATTAATAAAACGTAACTATACATGCATTAATTTGTTTGATTTAATTAAATAGTTTTTAAAGCAAACTATGTTACTATTATTAATGCATATCTATCTCCAAAAGTACCTTTTTTGGATCTTGAAGGATCTTTAAAGGAGTAATATTCTCTTTAACTGTTTTGAGATTTTGCGTAACAGGCAAAATGCAAACATCTGTGTCGTTACTGCAACCAGCTGATGTACTGGCAGTCAATAAAGTATCTATTATTACAGTTGACTCCTCTATGAATAATCCTAATGCAAAATCAAAATTTTTGAAAATATATTTTTACAATGTACACAGTTACCTAATCTATTACCAAGTTAACAAGCTTACCGGCACTTGAACTTTGTTTGCTAAAAATATTTAAAATGAAGCCATCTGACTGCTTTTCCTTTATGTACTCTATCAAATCCTCAGAATCTATTTCAGTTTCATCTGAATCTCGAAATTCTATTTCTCCATCCTCGACTTCTGCTATAAATTTGTTACGCACTAGAAAAAAAATTTCTTATTTTAAAAGAAATGTCACAAAAAATAAATGTAACTAAAAAGCAGGTATTGATTATTAAACAATAGAACGTAATGTTAATGTGAGAATACATATAATAATGAAGCTTTGAATCTCTGAGATCAATAAATTTCACTGTTGCAAATAAAAGAAATGATATGTTCCTTAATCAGAAATTTCTGTTTGCTACGTTTCTGCGTTCTATTGCTCAATATATATTTGTTATAATTTGAAATATTATACTATTTCACCTCTAAGAATGAATGTGTCTGCTGAATCATTTGCATCTAAGTGGACGAACTTCTTCGTATTAAGGTATCTTACCTTAATAAGCATTGTTAAGCTGTGCGATTTTTTCGCTTTATAGTGAATATTAGATCCACTGTATAATCAATGAAAAAGAGAAGAGAAATCACTTTCCTGATATTCTCTCTGTTTCAGAAATTTCCTATGATGGTGCGAAAACGGGTAACAGACACGAACTAGTAGTATAACCTCACTGTTATGGCGATAGTTTTTTGTAGTCACGTGATGCGCGATCACACCGCATATTGTTAAAGAAAATAATATCGCATCATAATTTAACACCGCATTTGTCAGTGTTAAAAATTATCAATAATTTGGTGTTAAAATTCACACCGAAACATTTAACCACACAAGTGTGGTGAAATTTCACACCAATATTTTTTAGAGTGTATTTACGAATTCTGATTTATTTAAAAACTACTGTAGAATGAGTAAAACTGTATTTGAAGAGCTACTTACATTAATTGCACCAAAAATAGTAAAAATGACACTTTATCGAGAGCCAATATCACCTGACCAACGTCTGTTGCTTACATTGAGGTAAGAAATTTTTATTAATAATTTCTTAAATTTAGTCATGCATTCATATAAGTATTGACATCAATAAAGAGTAATTTACAATTAAGGATAAGTTATAATTTTTACTATATTTTAATGTTGATTATAATAAAATTTTTTATAGGTATTTAGCGTCTGGTGACTCAATGATGTCTCTTAAATATCAATATTATATTGCTCAATCAACAATAACACATATTATTGAAGAAACCTGTAATGCTTTATGGATTACTTTAATGCCCATTGTTCTAAAAGTACCTACGTCCGATAAATGGAAGGAAATTTCAAATCAATTTGAAATAAAATGTAATTTTCCACACTGTATAGGTGCCGTGGATGGCAAACATGTAGTTATACAGGTAACATTACATTTTTAAAATTGTACTACATTTGTTTTTATATATTTATAGAACATTTTTTAATATTTATAAACGTAATTGTAGGCACCACCACATTCTGGTTCTACTTATTACAATTATAAGAGTTCGCATAGTATAGTCTTAATGGCTATTTGTGATAGCGATTACAAATTTATACTAGTCGATATTGGAGCGACAGGACGTCAAAGTGATGGAGGCGTATGGGGAAGATCTGCTATGGGTCAAGCATTTGCAGAAGGTCAAATAGACATACCATTATCAGAAGAAGTCACTGAAGGACCTGTTTTGCCATATGTGTTAGTAGGAGATGAAACTTTTCAATTAACCAATTATATGATGCGTCCTTTTCCTGGAAAAGGAGGTTTGACAAAGGAAAAAGCAGTATTTAATTATCGACTCAGTAGATCACGCCGTATGGTGGAATGCGCGTTTGGAATTCTTTCTTCGCAATGGCGAATATACAAGCGACCTATCAACACATCGATGGAAACAGCAACAAAAATAATACAAGCTACAATAGTTCTACATAACTTCTTGCGTCAAAATGACACTGATGATGTTATTTTCGAAGCTATTAATGTTGTGGATCCAACATGTTCTGAAGTTGAAACTGCGGCATTCACAAATATTGGCAATTTTGGAAGCAATACTTATACACGAGAGGCATCTCATATACGAAACATGTTTGTAGATTATTTTAATAATGAAGGTGCTCTTTCATGGCAAGAATCCATGTTACGTAAGTATATTTTTATATAGTTGTATTAATGTTTGTGTAATTAAATAATAATAGCTCATTTTTTTATTTTAGCATAATTTTAATTAAAGTTTAACAGCTGATTCAAGATACAGGTTAACGTTTTAAATACATAACTGGCGGAGTTTATTCATAAACTATGAAACTAAATAAACTTTATATCGATATCACATTTGTCTCTTAAGTTCTATAATACTTTATATGCAGTAACATAAAATATAAACTTTGTATTGATTATCACATATGACATTTGTCTCTTTTTAAGTTCTATAATACTTAATATGTAGTAACATGAAATAAACTTTGTATTGATTATCACATATGACATTTGTCTCTTTTTAAGTTCTATAATACTTAATATGTAGTAACATGAAATAAACTTTGTATCGACTATCACACGACATATTCTCTTTTGTACTTAACATAAAATGAACATAAAATAAAAAGAAATAAGCATAAATAACACAATGTTTATAGGTTTGTACGTAATTGCTCTCTTTTTTCAGAAGTTAATTGTAATAACTTCAACCCGAAAGAAAATCTTTCAGCAGCTGGAAATTCTCTTAACAAATTTCCTATCAATATCATTACATGACTTACATTATCATCTTGTACCAATTGTACAGGTGCAGACGCAGGCGCAGGTACTGGATTTTTCACTTTCAACGATGATTCTATTTTTATTGGTGCCGCCATGATAGTTGATAATGTTTGTAATAATTCGTTGTTATCCGATCTCTTTCGTCGCTTATACGTCAAAGTATCTTCTTCGTTTGTTGACACCTCGCTTGTTGATGCCTGATCAGTACGTTTACTTAAAACGTTTATATTGGTAACAGTACTGAAACAGAAAGCAAAATATAGATAAGAAACTATAACAATTAATTACTACTAATTTATGTTACATATGACTGTAAGCCTTAATGAAAAAGAAATTAATAAAAAATAATAAGAAAATATAAAAAACTGTAAATCAGGCCTGACCAAATCTAGATCCGGGAGTTGAAACGCTATCCCAAGTAGACATGATCGGTCCATAGACGTCGATTCGACATCTATAGACATCGAATCGACGTCTATGAACCGATCATTTCTGCCTGGATATATATATTGTGACGCCGCAGTCCGCTGCGGCGGAGCAGCGTCCCGCCGCCGTCACAAGGCGCGGGTTCGCGCCCCTTTTTACGGGACCGGCAGCTGCATTGTCGATACGAGACCGAAATCTCCGGGAGGCCCGAATTTAAAACGCGTGCATTTGATTAATTTGCGTTGAACCTCTTGCATGTACCGCGGCACCTCGCCGGACGAACGGAGCGACGAAGGAAGGGAGTCAAGGTCGCTGACGGCGGAACGAGCTTGGAGTATGGGCGACCTGGCGCAGGAACTACGGAGGCACGCACCGGGCACGCGGCAAACAGGTGGCAGAGCGCGCACACGCGGAGCGCGTGACCGCGCAAGGATGCTAGATCCGTCAGGAGCGCTACCGGGAAGACGGGCGTTGGAACGGAGGCCTGCGAAAGGCGATACGGCCGGCGATTTCCCCAGGGCCCGGGGTCATCGCCGCGAGCTGCCGGGGCGAGATGGCCAACTCGCCTCGCAATACAAAGGCAAAGGACGAGCCCATCCGAAACCACGCCGCCACATTCCGGAAATAGGGCGTCCTCGCGGGGGCGCGAGGCGCCCACACGTCAAGTCACCTGATTACGCCCGTGCCACGGCAGGACCCCCGCGGTGCCATGATTGGTCGCGGCCGACTGCGCCGCTGTGCTGCGCACCCCCGGGCTGGGGGTGCGAGCATCGATCCGCGATCAAACGCGATCGACGCCGCTTTTGCGTGCGGACACTCACGGCGAGCGTGTGGCTCGTGAAGCGAGCGAGCGAAAGAGAGAGAGAGCGAGAACGAGCGCCGAGAAGGAAGGAAGGAGCGTGAAGCTGCCGGTCCGGATCTGCGGACGAGGAACGCGAGAAGGACATCGTGCCGGTGAGGTGACCCTCCTTATCACATGTACAGCCACGGGCGGATCGAGAATCTACTCGCGCTCTGCGGACGGTAACGCCATTTTCGTGTTAGCGTGTCGTCGCGTGCGCCCCTTTGGCGACGCGTATTTTGCGACTTTTCCTTGGTCTGGCGTATCGGCGTCCGTCCTCAAGCGCGAGGATTCTGAGCGAATCGTGCCGTGAGCTATCGGGAGTGCCGCGAATCGAGCCACCCGGGGATCGTCGCCGGGAGTGAGCCGCAAAGCCCTCGCACACCTGTGTGCGAGCGTTATTGTAAGTGCGCGAGTACTCGGACCGCGAGTACTCCTTGTAAGATTACTTAGTGTCGTCGCATGTTATTTCGTCGTGCTCGAAATAAATAAGTTTATATTCGTTTTTCGTTTTCGCCTGAGCGTCTGACACGTGGATTCGCGATTGAGATTGTCGGTCGTCGTTAGACCTCGGTACTCGCATCGTACTGAGCCACGTTTTTTTTGTACTACCGCGCCGATGCTGACTGTAGTTACGTTATTGATTGCTGTCCGAATTGATTACTGTTCAAGAACGATTTCCTTTTTGTCACGTCAAAGATTCTCGCGCCGCTGAGTTATCGGCACTTATCATTGCCAACCGGACTATTTTTCGCTTCCGTTACTTTTCTTTTTGCTTTTTTTTTGTTATCACCGTACTGTATTATTTCTTTGGCTACTGCTTTTTACCGCTCTGCCACGCGGGGAATAAACGGTAGCATTATCATAATTCTGAAATACTGCGTCGAAATTCTTTCGCCCGGCCAGCACCATCCCGCCGCCCGTCCGCCCTTAGTTCCGCCTTGCTTTTCTACCGTTAGGTAGAGCCGGCCGGCCCTCGCGCGATCGACCTCGGGGAGCAGCGTCCGGTTGCGAATCTCGATTAGTGTTGTGGACAATCGCCTTTTGCTGTCGCGTTATTGACGGAAATTCGCGTTTCGCGAGTGACGTGCCGCCGAGCACGTCTGGCGCCCAAATTTCGCGTCGCTGCTCCTCGTCGGTCGCCGGAGGGACGAAATCCGGAGGGCCGTCACCTTCCCTCCCGACATCCTACGCGATTTTACCTTTGTTTCTTTTTGTTTTGATCCGTGCTCGCGTGAGATACCTATCTCGCGGGAGCGCGTGACAATATGTACCTCTACCTCATCTCGAACGAGCGAAACAGAGAGTAAATAAACAAAGATAGACGCTACAGCTACGAATCCAAGCAAAGCTGTAATACCTATTGTTATTTTTTTATTCTGTCTCGCTCGCTCGAGGCGAGGTAGAAGTAGTAGCGTTTCAAATCGCGAGCCGAGATTTAGACAAACCTGTTGTAAATATTTGCAATATTTGTGTAAACAATATTTGAATATATTTACCTTTGAGAATCATGCGCATCAAGTAAAAATGGCATGAATTCGTACCACTTTCATTTTATAATTTTGCCTCCGGCTGAACCTTTCTTTTTCATTACATCATTACGGATACGCATGTACGAATCTCTTAAATATCGCCACTTTTTAGACGCAGCTTCTGGTGTTAGAATTCCTGTAACAAAAGTAGATAATAGTTTTGTAAAACAAGATTAATTATAATTACAAAATATATAAGATTACATAGTAAAATAAAATACTAAATTAAAATATTAAATATACCATTTAATTCTTTAGAAATTTCTTGCCAATGTTTAGAAATTACATCTCGAGATCTCAATGCAAGTGGCAATTTATAATCCCATAATTCTCTTCTTTGTTTCACATTTGCTATAAGAAGCTCTTCGATGTCTTCTGTAATACAGATATTCTATAATGTTACAATTGTTATATATACAAAAATATACAAATATTATATAAAAAATCTTTATTATGTGTAGAATATTTACCATGTGGAAGTGTGATACTTGATAAAGTTGGCTCATACGCAATGGTTCCATCTTCTATGAATAATATATAATTAAATTACTTTTTCATACAGTTTTTATAATACATATACCATAAAATGAGGTAATTTTGAATCAAACTTAAAAAAATTTTGAGTATAGAATATAATAGTAGTAGATGTATAAGGCGGGTTCTAACTAGGGAGCTCCGAGGGGGGGTGAGGGGCAGGGGGGTCCGCGGGGGTGTCCGCGGGGGAAGCCGCGGGGAGGGGGAAGCCGCGGGGAGGGGGAAACCGCTCAGAACGTTCACGATCCGATGCGGGGTCCGCGGGGAGGGGGAAGCCGCGGAAAGCCGCTCGCTCAGCTGACCTAACCGCGGGGTGCGGGATGCGCGGGGAGGGGGGAACCGCGTCGTTGGCGCGGGGTCCGCGGGGACGGGGGAACCGCGTTGTAGGTCCGGGATGCGCGGGGAGAGGGGAACCGCGTTGTGGGTGCGGGATGCGCGGGGACGGGGGAACCGCGTCGTAGGTGCGGGATGCGCGGGGACGGGGGAACTGCGTTGTGGGTGCGGGATGCGCGGGGTGGGGGAACCGCGTCGTTGGTGCGGGGTCCGCAGGGAGAGGGATATCGCGTTGTGGGTCCGCGAGGAAGAGGGATACCGCCGCCGCCGCCGCCGTTGCGCACGGGTCCGTTATCGCTCACGAAGAGGAAGAGGTGGAGAAGAAAAAAAGAATATTTTTAATGATTAAAAAATATGAAAAAAATATTTATTTTAAAATTTATGTATAGGTATATATATGATTTAAAAATTATAAAATTTATCCGACGCAAAAACCGCCTATCCGTTG